CGGGACCCACCGAGAGCTGCGCCGCCGGAGCGGCTGTCCCAGGCGAAAGGCAAGAAACTCGCCCTCCCCACGGGCACGGGCTTCATCGAACAAAACCCGGCTTGTTTCTTGGGGCAGAGTTGCCGAATTAGCACGCAATCCCTCTGACGCTGTCGCGTCGCAGAACTGCGATTATTCAAAAGCCGAGAAAACGACGATATTTTATTCCCGTTGTAAATACGTACGTGACCTTATGGCAGAAGAAAAAGACATTCTTCTAGGGGGATCGCGAACCAAACTAATTCAATAAATGCCTTTTCTTCTGTTTGCGTGTTAGCTGTAATACCCAGGCAGTGCGTAGAACAAATCTATGTATTTGTTTAAACCGCCTTAATTTGCTCTTTTGATTTCCTAAATTGCACCCTTGAGGTTTAGATCTGGCTAAATCCCACTCACTTTATTGAAACTGATGGGCTAAATTTACGCAAAGCTAATCTAGGGAGTAAAATGTTCAGGCTTTGGCTCTGGACCACATTCGAACTGAAAGAAGACAACATTGTTAGCTTTTGGGGTTTTTTTCTCCTTTGTTTTTATTGTTCTTGGTTTATTTGTTTTATGCTGTTTCCTGTTTTTTAAGGCAAAGGACCAAATATTACTGCTAAAAAGGCAAAAAAAAGAGAAAACTTGTTACATTTTGACCTGTTTAATTTCCCCTAACGCACTTGTGATTCCTGTTTCTTCCAGTTCTTCCTTTGTTCCGTCTATGTTCCGATGTGCACAGAGAAGATTAACATCCCTATAGGTCCCTGCGGTGGCATGTGCCTCTCTGTCAAAAGAAGATGCGAACCCGTTTTAAAAGAATTTGGATTTGCCTGGCCAGACAGCCTAAACTGCAGCAAATTCCCACCCCAGAATGATCACAACCACATGTGCATGGAGGGCCCAGGAGACGAAGAGGTGCCCCTTCATAGCAAGACCTCCCTGCAGCCTGGAGAGGAGTGCCACAGCATGGGATCTAACTCGGATCAGTACATCTGGGTGAAGAGAAGCTTGAACTGTGTCCTGAAGTGTGGCTACGACGCTGGTCTCTACAGCAGGTCGGCTAAGGAATTCACAGATATCTGGATGGCTGTGTGGGCCAGTCTTTGCTTCATCTCAACTGCCTTCACAGTTCTGACCTTCCTGATTGATTCATCCAGATTTTCCTACCCGGAGCGCCCAATCATATTTTTGAGCATGTGCTACAATATTTATAGCATTGCTTATATTGTGAGGCTAACTGTGGGCCGGGAAAGGATATCCTGTGATTTTGAAGAGGCAGCAGAACCTGTTCTTATCCAAGAAGGTCTTAAGAACACAGGATGTGCTATAATTTTCTTGCTGATGTATTTTTTCGGGATGGCTAGCTCCATCTGGTGGGTTATTCTGACATTGACGTGGTTTCTGGCTGCCGGACTCAAGTGGGGCCATGAAGCTATAGAAATGCACAGCTCTTATTTCCATATTGCAGCCTGGGCTATCCCCGCAGTGAAGACCATAGTCATTTTGATTATGAGACTAGTAGATGCAGACGAGCTCACCGGTCTGTGCTATGTTGGGAACCAGAACCTAGATGCGTTGACGGGCTTTGTCGTCGCTCCACTTTTCACCTACCTGGTCATTGGGACTTTATTCATTGCAGCAGGACTTGTGGCCTTATTTAAAATCAGGTCTAATCTCCAGAAAGATGGAACTAAAACTGACAAACTGGAAAGACTGATGGTCAAAATCGGTGTCTTTTCAGTGCTGTACACCGTCCCAGCAACGTGTGTCATTGCCTGTTATTTCTACGAAATCTCCAACTGGGCCATTTTCCGCTATTCAGCAGACGATTCCAATATGGCAGTGGAGATGCTCAAAATCTTCATGTCCCTCCTGGTGGGTATTACATCAGGTATGTGGATCTGGTCGGCCAAAACTCTGCACACGTGGCAGAAGTGCTCGAACAGACTGGTGAACTCAGGGAAAGTGAAACGGGAGAAGAGAGCAGATGGTTGGGTGAAACCTGGGAAAGGGAATGAGACCGTGGTATGAGAAAAGGATGACATCCCGATGGTCTGACTGATCTCCCATTAAAGACTGGCTGTGTGTAAGCATTGCCATGTAAATGTTGGGAGCAGAGTTAGGGAGACGGTTACACAACCTGTCTCTGGAGGATGGAAAAAAAAAAAAAGCCTTAAAGAATAAACAGCAAAAAGATCATGCTGCAGATACAATAGCCATAAACCATGCTGCCCAAAATAAGAAAGCCAAGGGAGGCTTTAAAAGCTGTGAAATATCCAAACACGTTATCTTCCTTTTTGTTGTTTTTTCTGTTTTAAAGCAGGATGCAATATACTGAAGTCTTTAGAAGCTGAGGGATTGTAGCCCACAGCTGTGGGATGTTGTTTTCTTTTCATGGTCTTATAGCTGATGGAGGAAAGGCAATCTGGGGCCAAATTATGGGCTGATTGAGGGTCCAGTTATCAGAAGATGGAGCACCCAGGACCTCAGTTAGATGTCTTCTTTCCAAGTTCGGCACCGTGAAGGAAGCGTTTGCTGAGGGTTGTGTCTTTATGCCCTGGGGTATTCTGTTGCTCCCATGTGCTGCACAAGTCAGCCAAGGACCAGGTCCTCCAACAGATACCAAGTGGACTTTCCAGGTCTGAGAGTTATCAATGATGAGCAGCATTTAGTGAGGTATTAGTGAGGATGATTCTTTAAGTCATCTGATGGTCTAATAATAATTTCGACTCATTCTTCCTACCATCTGTAACCTGGTCTGAATTGAGAGTTGGCTCTGCCTTGCAGGAATTTGGACCTCTCTAGGTCCCTTCCCACCTGAATTATTCTGTGGTTCTGTCAATATTTGTGATTTTTTAAAAGCTTTGCTCAAGGCCATTGTCAAAAGTAGAGGAGTCAGTGGGAGCTGGGAATCTCTGTCTGGACTGCATTAATTACCATTATCCGTCTGCCTCCATTCCTGTACCTTCAGGTGCTCCTGCTATTTCCAGTGGACTGCTTTATTCTGCTGTGTTTAATAGCTTTAAATAAAGTCTTACTTTATGGTGTTCCTTTCTCCAGGAAAGAGAAAAATGAGTTGAGGGTCTCTTCAAACAATGCCAGTTTTCTCCTAGTAAACATCTGGCTCTCTCTGGAGACCCATCACATGAAGCAATTAAGTCTTAATATATTTCATTCAGTGTGATGGTATCTCTGCAGACGCCAGTCTGGGGAGAAGCGAAATGTTAAGTTCCTTGGCAACCTCATGTTCACACAGATCAGTTGTATAATTATGTGTGTCAGTTACAATTAAAAGAACATTCTCAGCCCATGACATTGCAGTACAGCTGACGGCCTCACAACGATGCTCCGATAGCTACGAAGTTTTTTCAAATGTATATTTACATGCAGGATGTGAGCAGGCATTCAGTCCTCGGGAACAAGAGACATTTCCAGTTTTTGTAAAGGGATCCCAAAAGAAGAGATCCAACTTCTTGGTGAATAATCCTGTTTCATAGCAACTGTTGAGTTTTTTATGCTTTTATTTGAGGAGGCATTGGCTTGTGCTCGTGGGGAGCTTGAACCTTGTGTTGCGGACTTGTCTGGTTAATAAGAAAGGTGCTGCAAATAGAAATAGTCTAGAAGCACTTAAGAGAACAATGTTCTGATGCTCTATCCCTTTGAAGGACCTTTGGTTTTATCTGCGTGCCCTAAACTTTTGCTTCATTTGTTTGTGTGGAACCTGGTCAGCTGCAGAGCATCTCCCTGGTGCCCTGACTCGGACGACCTTCAAGGGCAGCTGAGAACAGGCACTGCTTTATTACAGTCCTTGCTTTTCACACAGGTGCCCCATGTGCTTCCCAAACCACAGTTCATTCCAGCTCTGGCTGTGAGCACTAATCTGTCCCAGAAGTGTGTATTGTTTCAATGTCAATGTTGAAACATGTGCTAGAGTACTTCTTTCTTTTTTTTTTAAAAAAAAAAAAACACCAAACCCCAAACAAACCCTAATTGCAGTCTTTGCGGTTGGGCTCCCTCTCCAGCAGAACAAGTGACAACTTGACACATTCTGCTCAAGACACACAAGCATTGTCTTGGCCAACACCGCATACCAGCCAAGCCTTTTCATCCTCTCCATAAAGTGTCTTGCTATTAGTGTTGTGTTTGGATCTGGTTATCCCTCTGTGGACAAGGAGTTCCGAAAGGAGGAGATCTTCAGATGACAGAGCTTCTCCATCGTGCAATCTTTCTCCTGATGCAGCGAGGAATGTAAAGTCAGTATGAGCCTTTTCTTGTAACCTAGTATTTGGCTGTGCCAAGGTGTCATGTTCACTCAAGTGTCCTTCACTCTGAAATGATTTGGATACTCTCCTGGCCGATACAACCCATGTTTGACCTAACTGTTTCAATAAATGGCAGTTTTAACCATGTTATGTACACAGAAGTGAATGTTAAGTTGTAACTTGTTCTCAAATCCCTGCATTTCTGCCTGTGACCCTGTGGACTGTGACAGACACACGTCCCCAGCAATCTGAGACGTAAGCGAGTTGGATGAGGATAGCACGGCATAGCCCTTTGAGGGGCCTGGGGGGATATTCCATTAAAGAATGTGAGGGACTTAAATCCTATGGGGAGGAGGTGGGCTGGGGAGAGACACCAGCTGCTGTTCCTGAAAGAACATCTTTCCCCAGCAGTTGAGGGGACACTGTACTTCCCACTGAGTGGGAAGTCACAGCAGATAGATAGCCAAAAAACCCGGTGGTTGCAAAGAGTGGGTATCTGCAACTCGTATGTTCTCTCGTTTCCACGTTGTTATGAATTTAAAGCCAAAAAATGTGTGACTAATCCTGTCTCGGAAGTACAGTTTCTGTGGTTATACAACTAGAAACTTTGCAGCAGTTACCTTCCTTGCGCAGTCCCTGCTCCCAGCTCCTCCCCCTCAGCCTGTGCTCTCACTGCAGGTTTTGGAAGCATCTGCTGGGGAGGTACAAGCTTAGCTCTTATATTAAACAGACGACTTAACTCCCTTTTCTGAATTTTAAGGAAATAGACACTGATTATTTTGGGGTGTACAGAAAATATATCTACTTCAATGTATGTACTGTAAATTTCTAATTTATCACTGTAAAAAAAAAAAAAAGCAACTTTGCTATTTAATTTTTATATCAAAATAAAATTTTAACCTCTGTGGATAATTAAGGTAATCTTGGCAGCCCTCACGTTTTTGGTGAGTTTGTTTCTTAAATTGACTTCATCATCGTTGGAAGTGCTTTCTTCCCCTGAAGGAAGGAAGACTGAAAGTCTCATGCTGCAGTGAAGGGATCTCTGAATGAGTCAATCCAGCACGGTTTGGACCTAAATGTGGGTTGTAAGAAATAACTGGGAACAAAACACCCTTGGGCAACGGTGAAAGTACATGCATGCTTCAAGGGCTTACACACGGGGTGGACAGAAACCCTTTCATAGACAGTGCACAGGTCCCGGGTGCTGGCTGGGGATGCAGCTGGTCATTTAGGGTCGTCTGAGCACGTCCCCAAAACTGAACAGGAGTGCAAGGTGGAAGCACAAGCATCTGCTGCTGTAGCACTGCTGTGATGTGGCTCCTGGGGAGAGCAGAGCTTCCTGTAAGGCTCCTTTTTATTTCATGTATTATGGAATACATACATCCAAAGATCCACTGAGCTTTCAGATCCAAGGCATATGGTGGAGGAGGGCAGCATTACCACCTACCTGTTGAGTACATGAGAAACTGAAAGGGGCAGATTCTGCTCTTAGTTAACACACTTGAAATGGTCTTGCTCCTATGGGTAATTTTAGCTCTTCAGAGAAGAGATCCAATTGATTGCATTTTTTTGCAGTTGTTTTTTTTAAATTAAGCTTATTAATGATTGGCTTACTTTTCATTCCTTTTTATAATTTGTGCTCACAGTTAGGATTTACAGTGGCAGTGAGGAGTTCCTTCTTTTTGTGTACATCCCTCACCAGTTTCTCTGACACTTATAGTACAGTTTGAGATATTAGTCATCATCTAAACCCACTTAATCATCTCCATCATTAAGCATTCTGTGTGTGGGATTACTTAATTAACATAATGTTATTTTAGTAAGAACCTAAATCAGACTAGAGCGGATAATAGTGAGGGTGCACTATGAAGAAGACAGTAGGAATTATCACCTGTGTATCTGTAGCTAATCAAGTTTTGAACAGCAGAATCTAAACCCGGTAATTAGTGATTTGGTCATGCCTTTGGCAGCTCATCTCTGTAATGTTGTCAGGTTGGTGATTAATGAGGTCTCTGAAACTTATAATTAAGAGTCTTTAATATAGCTATAGTTAAATGTAACAAACAAAAGAAAAGAGCTTCTAGGGGAGGAAGCGGGATCTCCCTCTTGTTATTGGGGCTGTTCACACCAACAGATCCTCAGGTCTAGCGTTTGAGATGGTGTTGGCTGCTCCAGGTCTCTCCGATGGCCTCTTGTCCTTACGCACGTCCCCGACATCAGAGCACCAGTGACAGTGAAGTGACAATGGGTTGCTGGAGTGGCTTTGAATAGGGGACAATCTCCCTCAGGCACTGTGATGTCAGATGAGACCAGGCTTGCCTATGGAGGGGAGTATGTATGTGTCTGTGTACAAAACACACAAAAAAATCGTCTTTATGAGGACTTTTTGTGGTTGTTTTTCTATTTAGGCTTGGGGTTTTTTGCTTGGTTACTCGGGTTTGTCTTCTTTTTTTTAAAGCTGCCTTTAAAAGGAGCAAATATTAAAGAGTTTGTGGCAAATGAGACAGAGTTCTGCTGCCAGAAATCAGGAGCATCCTAAGATCCAGGTGGCACCATGAGACCCTGGATTTGGTGGTAGAGTTTCCACCACACACCCTCCATCGTCAGCCACTTATTCCCATAACTGCACCACATTTCAGCTCCTTCCTTTTGCCAGTCCACCTATTTGTGGCACTGAGCTTCAAAGCAGATCAGCAAAAGGATCTGGGTTAAAAATAACCATCAGAATTTTTGCTTTGTTTTATGCTGAAGGTTTAGCTTGGATCATGTCAATGATCTGGTTTATGCAGCACAAGGCAGCATGAACTGCTGGGGGAGCAGGGCTCTGGCTTACAATGCCTTGGCTCCTGCAGGCATCATCCCGTGGAGCTGCTCCCTAAGCCCCCTTGCACCATCATCCCCCATGAGGCCAGAGCTGCATCTACCTGCAGATATGCAGGAATGGGTGAGAGATAGCGGCAACTACCCAATCACTTCCAGCTTCCCCAGTCTTGGCTAAAAGAGCAAATCCTTCAGCAGAGCTGTTGGTAACCCCCTAAGTATGATGCTTCGACTGGTGTAATTGAATCCAGCTTTGAACTTCTCACCTATAGGTGAAAGCCCCATTGCACAGCCCCATAGTAGCTGTGTTCCTGAGGCTCCATAATCACCTTTTTGCCACATTTGGACTAACTGGCTCATAATATATGCCAGGAGTTTCCAGCCTCTGTCTCAGTCTAGGATGGTTCAACCAGACTGCCAAATATTGGCGTAGTTTGAGTACTGACAGATCATCTCTTCGTGCTTTCAAAGCCAGTGCTGGATGCGAGGGTGATGAGGCAGAGCATGGCCCTGGCTGGAGCTGCGTCATGCCTGCACCTCACCAAGAATGGACGAGAACATGGTGCAGACCAGGCAGCTCCCAGCTGATGCTGAGCTGGTACAATAGATCCCCTATCACTATTTCCTGCAGCTGGGAAATGATTTCTGGCCAGAGGTCCTGTGCATCCTGGCAGACTGCAGCTGTTGTAACAGCTTTGTGTTGTTAACAACCAGATGTTTTGTTTTACACTCTGGGAACAGCCGACCAAAGAATCACCACAGGGATGGAAGAGCACAAAGGTGCCTTAGAGAGTAGCAACAGCAAGCGAGGACTCACACTAAAGGTATCGCTGAGAAACTGCTGTTCTGTTTTCCTAGGTTTTGGGGGGAGCAGGGATCTCCTGTGTGCCAGATATTAGGTACCACAGCACAGGAAACAGGTTAAACTCCAAACACAAATATTATCATACTGCAAAGTTTACTGCAGTTTGTAACTTTTGATTTTGTTGCTGTGTTTGCTTGTCAGAAGCAAAAGTGCTGATTAATTAGATCCATTTCACAGGGTTCGAAGAAAGAAGACTTAACTTCAGTTTTGTCCATTTTTAAATCAACGGTTTAAAACATTGAAAACAATTACCCATAGCTTGTCAATATAGTGATAAGATAAATATCTTCATTTTATATTTCCATCAGTGTTTAGCTAGTTTCCTGCCTGGTTGTCTCATTTCCTGAGCTTACTCTGAGGAAGAGAAAAACATCCTTCCTGCAAAATAGATGCAAATTATTTGACAAATCTACTGCCACAATATTAAGGTTTAAAACATTATTATGCAGAGTAATAAAATGTTTTCGTGGATAAAGTGAAGTGCTTTCTTCCAAAGCAACTCAGAGACGTTCTCACTCAGGTACTTGCTAAGGGATGATAACCGGAGTGCCCATAGAAAGGCAGGAATTGAGTCTTTTCAGGGATTTTTCTTGCATTTTTGGGCCTTTTGCTTTGCAGCAAGGAGTGGCTGACATCTAGTGGCAGCTGCACCCTGGCCCCAGCCCCTCACCGCAGTTCGCCAGCCCCGCGCCCCACTCATGTCCAGGCCATTCCTGGGGGATGCTCGGGACAGATGTGCTCTGTGTGGCACTGCGGGGCTGGGACACAAAGCAGGGAGCCGCTGTCAGGCCGGGGCTCCCCACCTCTGCCTGTTCCCAGCCCTGCCAGGCTGCGCCCTGACCTGCATCCCATCACTCCCTAGAGGGCTGGTATCTCTTCAGTAAGATCAACATTGCCAGGGGCTTTCACAGAATCATGGAATGGGTTTGGAAGGAACCTTTAAATGCCATCTAGTCCAACTCCCTGCAATAAGCAGGGACATCTTCAACCACATCAGGTT